TAGGCTATAGTGCTCCTATTTGCTCCGTAAGTAATTATCCCCTTAACTAAATAATCAAAGAGCATTAACCATCTTTTGAAGTTACCCTTTAATCTTTTCTCCGCTATACCCAAACTTGCCACATTACGACGTTAACTTTCTTCTACATATTTCTAATATTCGCGTCTTTTTTTCCGTCAGTTGGAATACGCATCTCAGATATTTCATTTCTTTCACCTCCTCTATTCCTTTTGCTTTCCATATCTATTCTCCTTTTTTTTCTTCTTGCTCCTTTTCGGAAGCACATCATTTTCTATTTTTCTCTATGTAGAGCTAGATCCTTTTTTCCAGGTGATTTTCAATTCTGTTAACTTCATCTCTTCTTCTTTCGTTACTAACATTACGAAGTCGTCAGGATACATACGCGTCCACAAATTTTCTTCTCTCACTATTACTCCTCCTAATTATTCATCTTTTAGTTTTTATTCGATGACTGATAAAAATAGTGCAAAAAATCGAATTATTTTATGGTCCATTATAATCGTAGCAATTAAATACATAAACTCTGTCCTGGACATTGAGGAGGCCTAATAAAAAAACTCACTATAACGAAGAAAAGTTTGAATTGAACTTAAGTTATTCTTATTCCAATCGTTTGATAGTTGTTTGATGCGGAATCGTTTGATACTAATTTGATAGGCTTGTAAAAACGTTTGACAGTCAATAGTTTTTTCAGATTTCAGTGTCTCGATCAAATGCATGCAATAAATAGAAAAATAACGTGCACTCTTTGTTCTCGGTTCATTTTCGGACATACCTTTTGTGCTCCGGAGCACGTAAAAACACTTGCATGAACAAACCTATAGCTTTTCCGTGGTTCAATCGATGCAAAATCGTTTGATAGTTTTGACAATCAGGAATAAACAATAGAAGGGTAATCTGTTAGTATTAACAAAGGCCGATAGACGACACACTTCTTTCGCAATTTAATCTTATCTCAATAATATCAATTATTTCTAATAGATGATTAACCCTTCTCGTTAATATATGAATCATTTGGAATAATTAAATAGTTTCTAAAATCGATTTAGTCAAGTAAGTTAGCGTGACTTAAAATCGTAAAGATAACGCAATTCAGATATTTAAAATTTATAAAAGTGTTTTTCGCTCGATCTATCCCGTCTAGGATTAGAGCATTAATTTATCACTTTGTTTAAATTCTGGCCAAGTAGCATGTGCTATTCTGCCGAATACGTTAAGTGAAAAATTTGCCGAAGTCCTGTGGAAATCATTGCGATCTCACTCATAAGCTTCATTTAGCACTTTTTGTCTTGTATCTATTATTCTTGCATTGATTAGTCATTTTGCACATAGTGCCATTTTGCACATTTTTCGCTGATGCTCTTAGATACGGTTAGGACCTTAGGAATGCAGTCAACTAAGCAGCTGAGTAGGTGACACGGGCAGTGCATTGGGTAACGTACGAAATCTGCAATTCTATTGACTGTTGGCTATATTATTCTGTTTCGAAAATGATAACCGATACTATACGTAACAATACTCACCATTTTCCAGTTGCCATTTATTATTGTGCATTTTATCGATAATTTAATAAAAACCTGTAATTTTATATTATCATATAATAATTATCTGTGGCCTAAGTTTTTGAAATCGCCGAACCCGAGCACTTACCTGTATCCCATTTTGCACACCCATAAGGAGTTCTCACGATAATTAATGAGATGGAAATATCCTATCTATCAGTAATTAATTATTTTTAATGAATTTCGTTCGGAAGATTACATATTTCCATATAAAATGAATAGAATACGTTAAGCTACCCTCGTTCAGTTACTCCCTGAAGTAAAAATTGAAAAATTTCATTTGTACAGTATCTGGAATTGCGAATTCCAAAATTTGAAGCCTAAAATTGAGCGTACGAGGAATTACGCCACAAAGGAATCAGGAAACGAAAGGGTAGTTTTTGTAAGACATGCAACCGAACGTTATTGAAACGATTAAGCTTCTCAATTGACACATAAAAAAAAACTCATAATAATTGGAAAGGCAAATTTAAGCCCTTTTAATAAGAAGTTGGTTACACTTCTATAGGAGTTATTCACCCCTTAAATTAGGTTTTTTTGCGAGAAACGCTAAGACATGTATCTCTTACTTTTTTATCTCTTTCAAATGCAATTGGTTTCATTGAAATCCGCTCCGTAGTTTCCTTATTACAAAAATCATGCAACCTTCACCCCTTGTACATTTTTATGAATTAACCTCATCAGACCCGATAAAAAAGCATTTTTCATTATTCGCCATAAGCATCGATCTCCAATTGGTTTCATTTAAATATTTCAAATAAAAATATGCTAAACTACGAGCATCGAACTAAAAGTGCCCGAATTTAACGGGTAATTTCATCCCTTAAAACCTTTTTTCTGTAGATAAAAACATATGTGTCCCTTATCTTTTTATACTCTGCAATATATTTGAGTTTCATCATAATCGGAGGGAGACATCTGAAATACTTTCCTTGTTAGTTGTTTATTAAGCCTAGTCTTTTCTAGTATGTTCCGAAGTTGTTCACGACATATTGAGTCGAAGGCTGCTTTTAAACCTATCAATATCATCTTTTTTATGTAACGACCAGAGTAAACAAATAGCTGAATTGCTGATTGATGAATACAAAATATGATGTCTTCACACTGTCTTTGACCAAGAATCCACGTTGTGACATCAAAAATTCTCTTTTATTCGATGATTTTGTAGTGCTGGCGTGTTAATAAATTCGACAATTCTTGGCAGCTGCTACGCCGATAAAGTTGCCAATTACAAAAATAACTCGTCTGAGCTGTTCGATGAATCTTGACGTGTGTGTAGATGACTGCTGTGTCTCATTGCTTTCGTATTTTTCTGAATCCTGCGTTCTCTATCATGTGTGCCGATTCTATGAAACTAATGGCGACTCGTGAAACGTCTCTCGTTCTCACTACTCTTTCCGGTAATCCGGCTCTGAGGCCTCTGGAGGCTCTCTGAACATTCATATATCCCGCATAAAATAGTTTCTCATGCCGCGGCGCTACCTAGACCAGTATTCCTACTCTGGGATATCGGTTCACCCACGCACTCCAGTGCATTCGGGAGCTCTTGTCTTTTGCTATTTATCCAACGCGCGATTAACACCGATGGCGAAATACACCTGCGAACCGCCTATTCTGACTAATTCAAGGTAACCTCGCAATTACTAGAATGGTAAACGGGCCATTTATACCGTCTAATTGGAGAATCTAGCTACTCATCGCACGTTGCGCAAAACCATCCACGTGGCCATCTTCCTAAGACCTATTCGAATCCCGAATGCGAAGGATTTAAGGATTCTACGAATGAGATAAACTTGACGATATTGGTAATAATTGAACTATTTTGACAAATTCTGGATTTACCGTTTATCAAACACTGCGACGTAAAACGGGAATATTATGCGGCATCGTTAACTTTTATTAATATTGTAATGACTCAGAATCTGTAATGCGGTATAACCAGTTTCCTCCAATTTTTCTTTAAAAAACAGCGAACGTATGTAACGTTCGTATGAACGTATGAGACGTTTCGCGATTTTAGAGAATTAGGAATCATGAGACTTGTTTAAAAGGGTTTGTGCACCGGGGTGGCGTCTTGATAGGAAACAACAATTGATTTTTAAAATTAATTAATCTTGCTATATTGTCCTATAAATTACGTTTTAGAAAGTCACTTAAGGTAGTCCTTTCGCAGTACCTAGTCAAATGATAGTCCATTATGGAATCATTAGAAATAGAGATATTGCAACGTTCCAATAATAATAAAAATACAAATTGTGATTTTACACGCATGATACGACAAACATCGCGAAAATAGTGCGGTTGATCGTGATGTATTCATCCTTGTCACCATTTTAATAACGTATAGATAAACTTGGCAATGTCCCAGTAGCTAGTTTTCTGTTAAGGGAGCCCGTACGGGTTTTTGTGTATGCCTCGTGTCACATAACCAATGAAGCAGCATAAAATTCGCGCTATTCATGGACGTGTAAAAGGACGCTTTATTTTGAATTCGAAATACCTTTGGAGACAAAATGTGCTAGCATCGATGGAAAAAGCCGCCGTCCCGACTTTCCCTGATGAGCCAGAGACATTTCAATTCTACGGACGCCGCATCGTAAAATTGGAAACTCTCGCTCAGGATCTTTGGTGCACAGTTTGTGATACCTCTTTATCGCTTCGAAACGTGCAAGCAGAGGATAAAGCCGGTCTCGCAAGCAAATCGATGTGAAATGTGCACAGTGCAATAAAAACTAACCAGTAAATACAAATAAACGCATCTAAAATGTCTTAACCTCAAAGCGGCTACCGATATGTTGATTTTTGATAATAAAACGGATATACATGTAACATAATTTTTTGTCTGTTACATTTTAATGCTTTCATATCTTCATTTTTTCGTGTAATACATCGCAACAATGATAGACGGTGGCATTGGGGAGACACACTTCAACATAATCTTATCTGCTCTGAATATACCCAGTTTGTCACCAACCACACTTAAACGCAATGAGAGAGCCACTGGTCCAGCTATATAGAAGATAGCTAGGAATAGCTGTCAAGAGGTTACCAAGGTAGAAAAATCCGTGACTGTTGCTGTGAATATTGCGTCTCGAACAGACCAATTAAAGTGAGTTCTTACGCGTCTCAATTAAAATTAGGTGAATTCAAGTACAGAACAACTTATTATCGGAGTACACGTCGTTAGAGCTTGATTTTTATGTTTTCAGAAATTCTGACCTATCCGATGACCGACGACTTAAAGGACTGGATAACCGAGATTTGAGATCGAGTTTTGACGACGTTATGAAGACAGCAGAGGAAAATCGAGAGGAGACCATCACGATTGTCGCATCTTATGATGCTGGATGGCAAAAGCGTGGAACTGGCCGTGCTTATAATAGCCTATCCGGTTTGAAACGATGACACATGAACCTTAAAATTCTCTTCATCTTTTTTCGACTCTTTGCCTGCTTCAATATTTAGCTCAAGGGAGTCTCATCGGGCATCGGTCGAAGAAAATCCTCGGATATGCAGTTCGAAGTAAGACATGTGCTTTGTGCGCACGTGGACATTGCCCCGACGATCATGATTGTCGTCAAAACTACGAAGGCAGCGCAAAGTCGACGGAGCCCGACATGGCTGTGGAGTTGATCGCTCATAACTAGGATCTGAAGGACGAAAACGTTTGCATCAACGTTTTGATTGGCGACGATGACTCATCGACTATTGCAGCAGTGCGGCGCGAATCTGCCACGCGCGTGGATAAGTGGTCCGATCTGAATGACGCATTGAAGACGATGAACGACGCGTTGTATAGCTTAAAGCTGCCACTGAAAATCATCGAGTACTTTTCACGATGCTGGATGTGCGCGATTAAAAAAAAATGAAGGCAATCCGGAAGCAGTCGAATTTGCGCTATAAAACGTAGTGCCGCACGTTTTTGGTGCTCATGAGCATTGCGGCAAGTGGTGTCGTGTTTCTAACATGGGTTCAGAGTACCACTACAAAGATCTTCCTCATGGAAAGCCCTTATCGGATCTGCAGTTGAAATCGGTACTAACCTCGGTCTTCGCGTGATTCATAAATAATTCGAGCAAGTTAGCACTATGCAACTCAAGCCAAAGCAACGAGTCCTTCAAAAATTCGGTTGCTGGCAAGGCATCAAATTAAAGTTCTACGCAGCATCAGAGTCTCTCAACTTTCGGGTAACTTCAGCAGTTTTTCAGAAAAATATCGGTGTAACTTACATCGAACAGGTAATTTCTTGAGTGATTTATTGTGATTCTAAAAAAATTCACTTGTCTTTAATTGATTTAAAACTCCATTTTTTTTTAATTATCATATTCAAGGTTTATAAAGTATTGAATCTGTCGCCGGCTAAAGTGTCGAAGGAATTCCGCGAATCCAAGAAACGATCCAGAAAACGCAAAATCGAGCAACTACAGATTGTCGAAGCGAAACGAAAAAGACTGTTTTGTAAGAAAAACCTATGGAGTAAAACAGTATTTGCACAGCATCGAGAAGGGATTACGCACGAGACTGACAGCAGACTCAATGATGTATCTGGACTCATCGATGAGAAACCTTACCAAGGTATCGCTCCGCTGACTCTTGTAGATGCTGATTTCCATGGAATTTCATCGGGATATAAACATAACAAATATTTAATTATCAACCGATACTTCAAATAACCAAGATGCAAAGATAATGATATTTAATCTCGAAACTACTGACCCGTTGAAATCCGCTGAAATATGCCAGGTCCGTCACCATTGTCGGGGTACGTTGAAGGAGAAACACTTGAATGAAGTTTGCCTACTGCTTTCAGATAGCAGCTATGTATGACGAGGAAATATTCAACGCATATATTGTTCCTGTGGAAGGTATTTCTCCCAGGGCCGCGGTGATAACAAGGCTTCAGGTTAGGTTAGGTTAGCGAAATGTTTTTGAACGGCCGGCAAGTGGACAATACGCCATCTCAACTGTCGTTCAAAAACTTCATCTCGTATTTACGGAACATCGGCAGTAGTATAATTCTCGCAGCGCACAACGGGTTCAGGTGCATTTCATATAATGAATCTTATTCATGTAACTAAAACAAACTGTAATTTCTCGTAAGGAATTTTAGGTCAAGCTAACATCCTAATCGCACATCACGAAACCACGTGTAAAGTAAAACTGCATCAAATAATGGTCAAGTGCTTTATCGGATATTACCATCTGTATTAGGTTCGATGTACCATTGATATTGAGTCACTTGAAAAGGTTCGGAATTCTCAAAGAATTTCAGTCGGTCGTAAAGGGTTTTGTGGATACGTTGCTACTCTCTCGTAACCAACTTTCAAACCGAAAGAAGAAAAAAAAGGCTTCACTCTAACAAGTCTTGCGGAAGATTACTTGGGATCTGAGTCGTTAGCAAGCGCTCATAATGCTGTTGCAGACGTTGAGATTCTCAGAAAATTAGTTTGCGGCAGCAGTATCACTGACAATATAATTAAGAGAACAATCAAAACCACAGGTGAAATCGTACATGCAGAGAACAAAGCGATAGTCCAAGCACGAAACAAAGTTTCTCTGAAAAGTTTGAAAGATGCCTCGGCTGGCATAAAAACAAAAATGGCAAAAATTGCATCACAATGCAAACTCTCGAAAAAGCATTCGTTGATTTTGGACCAAAATGTTGCTTTGCGAAGACGTGTTCGACGCGTCTCATGAGTTCACGTACTGTGTTTTCGTTAATCTATATTAACTTATATATTTTCTGTTTTCGCGTTTTCTCAAATTTTATGTATCTTTTGCAGTAACTATCTTTTGTATTACGAATATTGTTAACGTGTCACGAAGTTGACCTTGTCCCGCGTGCTATTCATCTCGTTTCTCGAAATTGTTAAGTTGTTAATTTTATATTATTTGAAGCCCTAGAATAAAATGGCCAATTTGTTATGTTTTCTGTTACTGAATTTCATGGGTTCTCAATCTGAATTTCTTCTCCCTATCTTTTCCTCTATCATTCCCTTATTTAACCTCAGCGTCGTCCCAGCCCCTCTACCATACCTTTTCCTTTATGTATCGAGTTCTTTTATGTATCGTGACGCAACGACGCGTCTGGCGCCCATCCGGCATTTCCCTAAGTCTAGTTCATTTTGTATTGCCTAGTTTCGGAAAATTCGGAAAAAGTATCAAGTCAATTGTAAGCGAAAGATCGTGCCGTACCTTGGAGTACTTTTCTACCTTTACTATCTTTCAGAAATATATCTATTTTTCTTCTTTTGTTACAATATATATTGTGACGTTATTTTTGGACATCACAAAAAAATCCCGTATGGGTAACTTCCGTTTCTTCAGCTTCCGGACGCATTTACGTCCCTTTTCCAATAAACTCTCACGCCACCGGCCAGGAAGTCCAAGGTCATAGGCTAATTAGTGAACACTAGGCTAATACCACCTTGTACAAGTATTTCATACGTCATGACCACATCACCAGTACCAAGCCATCGAAATAACTAGAAACCAACGAAGGAGGATAAGCAGATCTTACGCCAAGGAACGTGAAGAGCTGCCGTGTCGACCTGACAACTCCACCCTATATTTGACCCTACCCGAAAAAAGAGTACGGAGGGCCACCCAAAAGGACAGGACTTCACCTCACCTTTCGTTTTGTATCGCCGGTATCGACAATCCAGAATATTAGGACTAGTACCGAAGACGAGGAAGTCTCGAGTGTCGCGAGATTCCTCGTGCTGGATGATCAGCGGGCCCCAAAGTGGAGGCATCGTAACTGACTTGCCACAAGAGGCAGAAACGACCAGACAGACCAGAAGTCATCAGGATCCCAGCCAGTATCGTCGAGGACAGGGCTGGATCTCACCGCCACCAGAGGCCACTGGACACCCGGAGCTACGGCAGCGAGGCTGTGACGATGTTTCGCGTGGCTAGCGAGATTACGACCAGGATGTTAAAGTGTTGCGTTTAGTCCGCGATTGGAACTTCTATTTTACGCTGTCCTTTCGAGTATTGTGTATCGTGTATTGTTGCTTAATGTAAGGCTCCGGCACCTACCCAATATTTTCGAAATCCATTTCGTAGGAGTAAGGCGATTGAGCCACAGATGTTACTCTAGCGTTATTTCGTATTTCTTATTGGAGGAATAGTTCTAACGATATGATTTTTGTAGCGGCGTAGTAATACGAGTATTGTATATCCTCCCGAGGATCTTATTGGCTATTTAAGGACATTACCGTTTATTGTTAGTGGGGACGCGAGTCCAAACCCTACAGTGAACTTTGCGTGTACGGTATCCTTGTCTGAGTTACCATCGTGGTCGGGTGCGAATTTTGTATCGCCAGTAGTTTCGATAATACCAGTAAGAATCTTGCAATGAGTCACGAATTCTTTTCCATACAGCTCTTATTGTAGTTCGCGTTTCGTATTTTTCCCAGGACCTCCGCCTATGGATGATTTCTGTATCGTTAACGTAGAAAAGATTTTCGTCACAATATATACAGTAACGTCCAATTGAAGTGCAACACTTGAATTTTTGTACATTTTTGTAAAAGTATGACAGATTTTGAAAAACCAAAGACATATTTCTTAGGAAATTTCCTTCCCGTTCTAATGGTAAAGGTTTTCTCCCGATCGGATACAAAATGGCCCAATGGCCCTACCACGCGCGCCAAGCAATTGTCCCCTGAGCGCCTCAAGCGGAACTCGCAAAATTTAGGCGTTTTTTCAAACGGATAATTTAACCCCTTAGCAAACTCATATTTGGATGTTTAAAAGCGCGTTTTAATCGTTGAAATCTCTGCTACAACGTGGATAAATATGACACTTCTATTTCATCGCATTTCTAATGAAAAATGGCAGAGAAGCTTCGGGTGCGCTTGCGAAATCTCGAGATCTCCGTCACGGGATCATCTCCGAGAACAATAATTTTGTGAGAATCTGCAGTATCATTAAAGATGATATCATGCAGAAACTGGACCAGATTGGCCGGCGCGTTCGGAAGTTATGGCCGTTTAAGTGTCTTCACTTCCAGGGGGTGTAACTCCCCCTAGAGTGATCCTACAGGGGTTCAATGGGGATGTTTTTTTAATGCCGAAGGATGTTCTTTCTCGTGCCATAATTAGAAATATGAATTTCCTTCCGGAACTAATAGATCTCGAATTTTTCAAAAAGTTCCAAAATGCACGTTTTCACTCCAACCCCTGCCATTCGGCCATTTTGTATCCGATCGGGATAAAACCTTTACCATTCGAACGGGAAGGAAATTTCCTTAAAAATATGTCTTTGGTTTTTCGAAATCTGTCATACTTTCACAAATGTGTACAAAAATTCAAGTGTTGCACTTCAATTAGACGTTACTGTATATACATATAATATTATCTGACCTAACATTTTCCAAATACAATGAAGAACGAAGAGCAACGATAGTCTTTAATATAACTTGCAGAATAAAAACTTGTGATATCCTCCAAAAAAAAAAAACACTTTCGTGTAAATAAACCTTGTCGAATAGAGGATTGCTGTGAAATCCCCATCTTAAAAGGAAATAAATATATTTGTATTTAGTACTGGATAATTTTTGGCACGGACCCGCCAAGTAGTACTCAATAAAGAATCTCCTAACGTATTATTAATTATTAAGGGGGAATGGAACTTACTTTTTTACGTGCTAATATATCACATGGACCAGAGCTGGAAGCGAGGAAACTTTGCACCCAAAAATATTCTGTAAGAAAGCAATTTCACTGAAGTGATCGCACCAATTTGAAGCCTTCCGACAAAAAGACTTTTTCTGCGAAGCCTGAATTTTGAAACATTGCTTATGACATATGTAAAACAGAAGTGAATATCGACAGTTCACGACCTAGAGATCTGTCATAGAACCACGACAATACCTTTGCTGTTTTCTACCCAACACTTATCACATTGTTGCAGAGAACCAACGATGAAAATTGAAAAAAGTATCAACTTTACACCTTAGCACTGGGAGTTGCTGCCGTACAGCGAATTTCGAGAGTTTTGGGTGCGAATAAGGGGAGCTATCAATACGGCGACTTGCCACCCCTAAAACTTCAGCTTTTCACGCGAGCACTAGTAGTAGCACCGCTAGCCGCTAGGGTCTACGTGCGCCAGTTGTGCTCATTCATCTCTTTATACATATTATCGTAGCGAAACACGGCAAGAAAAACTAGCAACAGATAGCACGGGAGCACGAGCCAGCCCGTGGCACCTCGGTCGGTGCCCCGAGACAGACTGCTTTGACAATAGTCAAATTCGAGAACTAATCATTCTGATTGGTCGAGAGCCTTATACCCGATAACTCTTCTATCTCCTTCGAGTCGTCCCTTTAAACCAAGTCGAGAGCGTTCTTTAGCGAATCGGTACGTAATCTGTGGAGATCCTCCACGGCCGCTTCCCCAGGGCATCGGGCGACAGCTGGGCACTACATCCTTAACTCGGGCAGGAGGTTCCTCCCCTGCCCTTAACCATATCGCAACTTCCTCCGCCCGCTCTACAGCCCTTTGCCCATCTCCAGCGGGGCGCCGGTATCTCACCCGGGCTTCTGCCGGTCCGTGGAGACGTCTCCGTCGGGTACTCTCCTCTGCCGGGCAACTCGGTACGTCGAGACTATATCCCCACGGCAGATTCGAGCACCTCGACCTCAACTAAACACTGACAAAATCTTACGAGAGCCTTGACGTAACTATACGAATCAATCCGAGAGCGTAGCTTCTGAGCAGGGTGGCGACCCGAAGAGAACCAGAAATCGAGAACGTTATCTATACCGGTAACCGGAGTCGCCTTGGGACCGTGATTCAAAAAAATCACGTCACAATATTAATTGCAAATTTTCATATTAATACACTACGTCTTCTCAGCCACAATGACAAATTTCTAGCGTTTAAAGCGGATTTTAAGTACAGTATGGAAAAGTTTATAGGGAATTTTTTCACTTCCACGTAGTTAGCTGTTGAGCATCAGTAAAACGCGACATCACACAACGTGCAAAAGTATAGTCGCGTGTTTCCACGGCTTGTGACACATACAGCAGCACCGTCATTTCGAACTTCGGCGATCAGTTCCATTCCCCTTCAAATGACTCTTAAATCATAATGTAATATAAACGGCAGTAGTAACATAAAAGAGTAGCGAAGACTATAAAAAATTTGGAAAATACAATTAAAATGAACAGCTAATGCTAAATCATATAATATGCAGATATGTAGTAACCTATGTACTTGGCATTATAATATGATTTCAATATTTTTTGTTACTAGAACAATAATGCATATTATAAATATAGGTATTTCCTCTTAAGGTGGAAATCGACAGCAATCCTGTATTTGACGAGGTATTTTTACACGAAAGTGTTTTTGTGGGAGTTAATTAGGAATAGTGTCAACATCACTATAATGAGATTGAGCCATATGTGTTTTGCAATTCTGGCATCTAGGCTTAATCAGAAATGTGTCTACGCGACAACATCGGACGATCAGTTTGAATGTTGATCTCTTGCAGGCTTTAGGTTGGTCTTAATAAATATGGCTGACTGCAGTCAAATTGATCATTAGTTGATCGTTCGTGGATCATGCGCAGATCTACGAAAGATCAATTCAGTCTACGAAACTGACCGAAAACTGATCTGAGAATGATCTTGCCCATATTACAATAATACAGAATGGATCAACAACTTTTTTCGTGAACAGTGGCCATAGTGACGAAAAATCTGGTTCTCGATCCACATAATTGTTTATTGCTAAATAACGATGAAACTGATGTATCTGAACGTTTGCATAAAGCATCCTGAAGATATTATTTACAGTTTCCAGCATCTCTACATGAATTATACTTGCAAAAATTGGGATATCTTATTCATAAGACGTAGTGCTAAGTGCTGCTATTTTACAAAAACATTTTTCGA